ATTTATTCATTACTTTAAAGACACGTAACAGCATATAAGATAACTGTAAGAAAATAACAGTAACTAACTCCAAGGTAACCACCACAGTCATGAACATCAAGTCCCATGAAATGTCCCAATCCATGAGGCATAAATATCGCACCCATTCGTACTTTCATCATTTCTTCCAAATCACCTCTCAATATTTCAGCATCCCTCAAATGTGACAGTATAATTCGTTCTGCTAACAAATGCATTTCTTTCCATCGTAATCCTGCAAAAAAAAAAAAAAATTCTGAAAAACAATACTGAAAAACAATATTAACGGATTATATTTCATAATATATAAATCGATCAAATAAATTTTTTTTTTTTCAAGCATAATTGATAATAATCAATCAAATTAAATAGAATATAGAAGAGCAGAAGAAAAAAATTAGTAGTAAAGGAAATATTTAAAAATGGAGCGAAAAATTTTTTAAATCACAATAATTTATATTCAAAAAAGAAATTATAAATTTTGTAGATAAAAAATTGTCGAATAAAATTTCAAAATCAATTATTATCGTTATCATTACTATTATTCATCGATATATCTATATAGAACATTTAAAATTTCTCAAATTCCTAAACATAATTCATCTTTCATAAACAATCAAATTCTGAAATAATTCAAGAAATCGTATTGCAATTATGTGTAATGTTCAGTTGAAATGAAATTAGAAGTTGGAAAGGAATTAAATAAGAATTGAAATAAGTTTAAAAAAAGAAGAAAAAATTATTAAAAATTAAAAATAAATTTTGAAATAAGAAAAATAAAAATGAAACAAATAAACATTTGAGAATGAGTAATATTAATAGCTCATATAACAATTGAACACTTGTTTGAAAATTAATTAACTAACGCATTCATCATATAAGTAATGGCTCAATGATTAATTAATTGATACACTCATTTGACTCAACTGATTGTGAGATTAATTCACTGATTTAATCAATCATGTCTTCAACTGGAAAATAGTAATAAATAAAAAAATTTACCTGGTTTAGCTGCTTTAAATACCTCTGTATTTGCAGCCAAAACTGCGTTATAAATAATTTTTTGTTTTTCCGTAAATTTGCCATTGCACGGAAATGTCGTCGTAATATCTGATGCTAAAATAAAATAAAATATAAAATAAAATACACACACACACACACACACACACACACATACA